GGACTAGAATCCAGCAACCATATGGGATGCCAGCGCTGCAGGCGGAGGATTAACCAAGCGAGCCACGGTGCCAGCCCCTTGAGCAATTTTGATTTGTAGGTGGTTCATGCCACAAATATAGAACTCATGGATATGGAAGGCCCATGGTATTTCTTTTACTGACCACTTTGCAGTTGAGACAGGGCACCACTGGCCTCTGCTCTGCTAGGCATCAGCTGGGACTAAAACTACTGGGCAGCTGGTGCTCTCCTGAGGTTGGTGATGGGAAGGAGACCAGAGGCCCTGGGATGTCCTCTCAATGGCACCGTTGGCGTGGTCTCCCCAGCCAGGGCCCCCACAGCACAGCTGCGAGGAGGCAGCTAGGCGAAGCTGCAGCACCAAGTCTAGACTCAGCATCACTCTGCCCTGCCGTTGGCTCCCCACAGCCGGGGACCTGACAAGGCCCCTCTTGCAGAAGAAGCGCCAATGGCACAGTTACAAGAGCAAATGGGAGCAGCTCCACCCCAGGGGGAGGCACAATCCTGCTCACCCAGGATCCCACTCTGCCTCTGCTTCTCCTTTTGTGAAAGATGTATGTATTTGAAATCAGAGCTCCAGATAGAGGGAGAGAAAACACTTCCACCCGCTGGTCCATGCCCCAGATAGCTGCATCAGCGAGGGCTCGGCTAGGTCAAAACCAGCTGTTTTATCTGAGTCTCACGTGCGGGTGCAGGACAATGAGCACTTGGGCCGTCTGCCACTGTTCCCCAGGCCATTAGCAGGGAGCTGCATCAGAAGTGGAGCCGCCAGGACTCCAACCAACGCTCATCTCGGATGCCAAGTTTACCTGCTACACCACCACGGCAGCCCCACGTGCCTGCATTTTTTGCTAGGAATAAAACTGTAGAAAACTTAATTCCAGGAGGTTTGAATTTTTTAAATGCTATGACTAATTGTAACACTTATGAACGTTAATTCACCTCTCCCGAGGGTGACTCATGTGGGGCTGCAGAGTGTGTCCTCGTCCCCTGGGGGTCTGGATCACAGTTTGAGAGGAAAATATGAATAATGCACGGTCAGGGCTGCTCTGTAAAGAACTCTCCTCAAGAAGCAGCTCCATTCATGGCTTGTAGCTGACTGCAGAAGCAGAGCACTCCTAGCAAGGATGACAGTTCACGGATTTCTCTGGGCCGGCAGCCACATATATTGAAGACAGTTATGTCCAGTAACGAATTACGGGTGAAACCTTACACGGTCTGCACACATATGCACATTCATCACATACACGCACACTCATCCACACACAGATTCATGCACACTCCTGCATTCATGTACTCATACACACATTCATGTACACTCATGCTCACATTCATGCGTTCATACATTCATGCACGCACACACTCTCATGCACATTCATACATTCATGCACTCACACACTCATGCACACTCATAGTTATACACCCACACACTCATACTTTCATGCACTCACACGTCCATGCACACTCACAGTTATGCAGACACATGCACACGCACACACACACATTCACGCACACTCATAGTTATACACCCACACACTCATACTTTCATGCACTCACACATCCATGCACACTCACAGTCATGCACTCAGACACATGCACACTCATGCACACACACTCATGCACACTCATAGTTATACACCCACACACTCATACTTTCATGCACTCATTCATGCACACTCACAGTCATGCAGACACATGCACACTCATACACGCACATTCACGCACACTCAGTTGTGCACTCATACATATTCATGCATACTCACACATGCACATTCATGTACACTCATACACACATTCATTCACACTCACAGTCACGCACTGATACACACACACACTCATACCTCACACACACACACATTTGTGCATCCTTTACTCCCAAGGGAATTCCAGCCTCTCAGACCGGCTTTCCTGGCATCATTTTTCTGAAACCTCACCACACCACACCAAAGGGACATGGCGCCTTTTTAATTTTGCCTGGCGACACTTGATGGTCAGGTCAGGGAGCGAAGCGTGAGCATCTTACTCACCCGCAGGAATCCCATCATGGCTAGGGTTCAATCCGCCCGGCTGAGGTTTCTGTGTGAACGGGAAAGCTAACCTATCACTGCAGAAACGTGCCCCAGAACACGTAGCGCTGGAGGAAACCCGCCTTCCTCTGCGCGGCGGCTCACGGAGCTGCTCCGAGCAGACACGGACCCGGTAAACATCACCCACGGATTTCCCACAGACTGGTGTGAACCCGGTAAACATCACCCACGGATTTCCCACAGACTGGTGTGAACCCGGTAAACATCATCCACGGATTTCCCACAGACTGGTGTGAACCGGTAAACATCACCCACGGATTTCCCACAGACCGGTGTGAACCCGGTAAACATCACCCACGGATTTCCCACAGACTGGTGTGAACCGGTAAACATCATCCACGATTTCCCACAGACTGGTGTGTGCGCGCCAGGTCTCACCTCGCAGCCCCGAAGTCCAGGATGAAGCAGGCTAACTTGCGTTTCCAGCCCCATCGGAGGACACAATTCTGAGGCTTCTCCACTACCTCTGTGGATTCACCAGGAAATTGCCCAAATCGCACACCTGAGCACACGCCAAGTGTTTGCATCGCAAATTCTCTCTCTCAGTGCGATTTCGGAGATGGAGTCCCGGCATCTCGTGGTTGTGAATTAAAGTGTCACCAACAGAGTCCGTCAGTGAAGAGGAACGTCTCCGACCGCTGGACCCCTCTGTGGCTGCTCCCTGGGAGCGGGCGTTCTCAGCTCCTGCTTCTGAAATCTGGGCGATTCCAGAGCACTTGTGCAGAAGCCACAGAACCGGGACTGGACCTGTCCCTAGCCGAAACATTCCAACATCTCAGTTCATTCAAAAGGGACGCAACATTTGTTTTCAAATTTCTTATCCGGGAAAGGAAAACTGAGCAAAACGCCTAAGCAGGGGAAAAGAACTCTTGAGGGGCAGCTATGATGCAGAACAAGAAACACGCCACGAAGGACGGCAGGCAGCGGGCACCTCCGTCTCACGTCCACGGCGGGCGGTGCCTCTCAGGCAGCCAAGGCCGCCCTGGTCCCAGAGGGCCGGCGAATCAGCACATCCCCTGCCACGGGAGGCCAGGGCCGGCCGGCCTCCAGTTCTCTGCGTGCCCTGTGGCAACGCCACACTGGCCAAGCAGTTTGGATTTCGCCAAGTCGCCTTCACAGGCTACACTTCCAAATGAGACAGCCACGGGAACCATGGCAGCCCCCACCCCAGAAAAAACGAGGACCAACATGGAGCCCGCCAGGGGTGTACAGTTCAGACGCAACGCACAGGGTGTGTGACGGCGTCGGATCTTGAATGTCCCGGCTTGACAGGTGTTTCAGGTTCCCCGTGTCTGCCCCACCCTAGAGAAAGGTGCCTGGGAACTCAGCCCAGGGCCTCTTGCCGGCATTAACGCTGTGACTGAGCGTGGTTTGAAAACCAGAGTCACTTGTCACTCCAGCTCACGTCCCCGAGCACCATGCCCCTCCCGGGTAGGACGACCAGCATCCCACACGGCCTACTTTTTCTTTTTTTTTTTTTTTTTTTATTTTGACAGGCAGAGTGGACAGTGAGAGAGAGAGACAGAGAGAAAGGTCTTCCTTTGCCGTTGGTTCACCCTCCAATGGCCGCCGCGGCCGGCGCGCTGCGGCCGGCGCAGCGCGCTGATCCGATGGCAGGAGCCAGGAGCCAGGTGCTTTTCCTGGTCTCCCATGGGGTGCAGGGCCCAAGCACCTGGGCCATCCTCCACTGCACTCCCTGGCCACAGCAGAGGGCTGGCCTGGAAGAGGGGCAACCGGGACAGAATCCGGCGCCCCGACCGGGACTAGAACCCGGTGTGCCGGCGCCGCTAGGCGGAGGATTAGCCTAGTGAGCCGCGGCGCCGGCCAACGGCCTACTTTTTCACAACTGTGCCGTGGGAAGAATTCAGACATGGAGGAACACACGAGGCCAATGTGACGGCCACTCAGCGCCCCCGAGGGCATCATGAGCAGCGTCCCCCTAGGTCTTCAGCCTGGCCTGAGCAGATGGTTCCATACACCAAATGGAGGCTTCGAGAAGGTCAGGGCCCTCGCCCAGGCCAGCGTCAGATGCTGCAACCTCTAACCACTGAGCTATGCCACCTCTGTGTAACACGCAGGAAAACAGCCATCGGGGCTGGCACTGTGGCATAGTAGCTAAAGCCTCCGCCTGTGGTGCCGGCATCCCACATGTGTGCCAGTTTGAGTCCTGGCTGCTCCACTTCTGATGCAGCTCCCTGCTAATTGTCTGGGAAGACAATGGAAGTTGGCCCAAGTGCTTGGGCCTCTGTGCCAGCCAGCTCCTCTTAGACCAGCCCAGCTCCAGCCATTGTAGCTACCTGGGGAGCGAACCAGCAGATGGAAGACCTCTCTCTCTCTCCCTCTGCCTGTAACTCTGCCTCTCAAATAAATAAACCTTAAAAAATAAAAATAAAATAATGTGCTTATTAAAAAAATAGAGAAAGAAAGCAAACCACCAGCAATGGTGAGGCGCTGGATAGACATCAGGTGTCACCGTCAGTAACGCTTTATTTAAAATTCACATGTTGGGGCAGGCGCTCGGCACTGTGCTGAAAATGCCACTTGGGACACCCACATTGCACATCAGAGAACCTGGATCTGCGTGCCACCTCTGCTTCCAGTCCTGCTTCCTGTTAAGGCACCCTGGGAGTCAGCTGGCTGGCTCAGGTGCCCGATGCGGGAGGCCTGGGTGTAGCTCCTGACTCCTGCTTTTGTAGGCACTGGGGGGTGAACTGACAGATGGAGTATCTCTGTCTCCCTGTCTGTCTCTCTCTCCACCCCCTCAACCTTTCCAAATAAATACAAATAAAAATAGCAAACAGGGGGCTGGTGCTGTGGTATAGCAGGTTAAGCCTCCGCCTGCAACAGTAGCATCCCACGTGGGTGCTGGTTCAAGTCCTAGCTGCTCCACTTCTGATCCAGCTCCCTGCTTATGCACCTGGGAAAGCAGAAAACAGCCCAAGTGCTTGGGCCCCTGCACTCACATGGGGCACCCTGAAGCAGCTCTGGGCTCCCGGCTTTGGCCTGCCTGTTTGGAGAGTGAACCAGCAGACAGAAGATCTGTCTCTCCTCCTCCCTCTGTAACTCTGCCTTTCAACTAATTTTTAAAAAAATCTTTAAAGATCTTTTAAAAAAAAACAGAATAAAAACAAGTACTCTGTAAAAGTCAGAAGAACATACATAAAAATGTTTAATACAAAAATTAGAATTCCATGACATACACATGTATATCTCTGTGCACTGTGTTTCTGTTTTTATCGACTGAGGGGCCTGATGTTTTTATTCAGGTGACTTCTTTACGACAGCCAGTTAAGATCAGTGTACAAAACCCACAAAACCCAGAAGCGTCTGGACCAAAGGGAGAGCGAGCAGGCCGGCAGGTCACCCAGGGAGACACAGCAACCGCCGTTTCCCACGGGAGGGGGCCGGGCACAGGCAGGCAAGCACGGCCTGGGAATTGCGGCCCGGCGCAGAGGGGGAACACGACCTCGTGAGCAGAGCAGAGCAGCCCGTCATCCCACGAAACGAACGGATCGCCGAGCCACAGGCAGCGTGTGGCAGGGGCTCCGGACGCGCCGACATCTCCCCCCGAGATGTGCATTTGTGGAAAATCCAGATCTGCAACGAAGAGTCTTGCAGCCCAGAGTGGCCACAGAACGGTGCAGGATCTGCTTTCGGTAAAGAAGGGCCTGAGTGCTGAGTCGGGCCACGTTTTCCTTCTGGGACCAGAGCAAGGGGCAGGAAGGTTCCTGGAATCCTGAGCCGCACCTTGGACCACGGGGGTTCACCGGAGGCAGACATTCAAGGGAGCCGAAGAATGAACTCTGACCGAGCCGGCTTCTCTTTGAAGAGATGATCACTCAGGTGAGCCGCCGGGCGTGTCTGTGCCGTGCCGGCTTGGGGTTCCTTGCCGAGATGCCCATGGGCAGGAGGGGCGCCCTGGGGCCTGCGGGACGCCTTGCTCAGAGATGGAAGGGCCAAACAGTGGCTTCACATCTGGGGGCTACAGATAGACCTGGTTGGGACAAGTCTGTCCCCATCAGCCTCTCCAAACCGTCTTTGCCACCATCAGACCCAATGTGAGAAGCAGGGAGTCTCAGAGGGAAAAAAGACTGGGGCCGGGAGGGCACACACTTCCATCCTGCGTGGCTGTCCCCCTGGGTCAGCCCTGCTGCCCTCTGCCCGTGCCTGAGCCCGCACGCAGCCATGCCATGCCCACACCCTGCCGCACTCACTCCTGCTCCACTGTGGGCAGCCTCGGGCCTGGGGGAGGCCGCATGGTGGTGCAAGCCCTTACCAAGGTCATTTCCAGACTCCAACACTGGGGCAGGGCGCAGCGCCAGGGCCTAGCATTTATCTAGCATAGGAAGCATCCACTTTAATTCCGGGATTGATATTCTGACCAAAGTTAGAGAGAAACTTCGCTTTATGTCACATTCTCAGTAGGATTCAGCCCAGGCATGTTGCAGCTTGTGCTGACAGCCTGGATACTCTTTCTCTTTTCTCACCGTGCTATGAGGTTCTTCCCCCATGCACATAGCCCCTGCAGTCTCACTAGTGCCCGTGTCTCCATTAAACTTAATACATGTTTGGGACATAACTGATTAAACCCTGCAAAACTAATATCTTTGCCAGGAAGAGAGAGTGAGCTGAGTTAGGTCTGTGCCATTGGCAGTGACAATTCAGCAAACTAATTGAGGAAAAACAATATTCCGGTTCCTGTTCCATCCATTTCATTTACAGAATGCCAGCTGGTTTGAGAGCTTCCCCGTTTACGCAAACACTAATTTCACGCCTTTTGTACAGACCTTACTTGGTGAAGCAAAGTCAGGAATAGAACACGAGCGGATGCTTACGACCAACTCAGGAGACCCGGGGCTACCAAGTTCCAGCCAACCTCCTGTTCTCAGGTGTGTAATCTTCCAGAACACGCCCCAGGGAGAGCCGGTCACCAAACAAACCTCTGCCTCCACTTCCCACTCTCACACGACTCTACATGTGAGGATTCAAAGCGTGCAGGCCCGATGCTTACATGAAAACCCTGCAAATACAAGTGTTGCATAACCAGCCTGCTGCTGTTGCCAAGTAAAAAATATTTTTTCAAGTGACAAAACCACACTGCAATAAATGGGATGCAAAGTTAAGTCTCCCAATCGCATGAGGGTTCCCACGGCAGATCTGACACCTACACTTTCTTCCAACTCTTTGCCCGTTTGAGCCATCTTTCACAGTAGAATACATTGTGCACAGGCAACAAGTATTTCCAGTTTGAGTCTACAGACGTACTTCAGAGAGTCCACAGAAGCAGGGCATCGCGGCACAGGGAGTTAAGCCAGCGCTTGCGAAACTTCCAGTCCCAGCTCCTCTGCTCCCCATCTAGGTGCCTGCTAGCATCCCCAGGAAGGCAGTGGATAACGGCCAAAGACCTTGGACCCCTGCCACCCACATGGGAGACCAGGATGGAGTTCTTGGCTCCTGGCTTCAGTCTGGCCCAGCCGCTGGCTACTGCAGCCATTCGGGGGAGTGAACCAAAAGATTTCTGTCCCTTCCTCTCCGTCACTTTGCCTTTGAAATAGATACTTTAAAAGAAAAAAAAGTCACGGATATGCAATTAAAAAAAGTTTATCTTAGGGGAAAAAATTAATGAAATCCAAGCACATGATGGTTCTCTACACGGTCCACGGAAACAGCACATTATGAAAAATGCAGGGGTTTCAGAATGTGTTGCACTAAACTCATTTTCAAATTCCATTTTCCACTGAGGGAGGTTCCCCGAGATTGAGGGGATTTCACTTGAAATAGATTTTCCTTTTTCACAGGATTTCAGCGTTTTGCAGAATTAGCTCTGATATGAATAATATTTTCACATAACTGCAAACACATTTTTCACTCCATATAAATCTCTAAAGACATTGCTTAAGAAAGCAACTAACACAAACTTTGTGAACAGGAAAAACCAACTTTACAACAAAACATCAAACACTTCAGGTGCCTGAACAGAACCTAGAATCACAAATAGCACGGGGAACATTTTCAAGAGTTGTAGCTTGTAAAAACATGGTTTTTTTTGTTTTTTTTTGTTTTTTTTTTTGTTAAGCAACTAAGTTCAGAAATTGATCCAAAGAGATACGGGATAAAAACTGCACCACAAGCCACTTTGGAAGAGAGAGAGTTCAACGTGTGATGCTGACGTGACCAGGTAGCGTTCTAGGAGAAAAGCCTGCCTGATACCAGGACAAATTCCAAATGGTTTCAAAGTTTAAAGGTAAACACTGGAAACCACGGCACACCCTGGAAGAAAAACAGGATACTCTCCTAATGCCCTTGGACGACAGCAGTCTTTCTAACTCCCAGTCCAATCCAGGAGGCATGGAATAAATTTTGATAAATTCTAAGGATGAGACGAGATAAGGTCATTTGCAACTTGCACCAGTCATGAAGGACAATTTCCCCAACAAACAAGGCTGCATTACACTGAGAAGAAACGGGGAGCCCTGCAGAAAATCTACAGGAGAAAGGGTGAGACGCAGTCTTCCCTAACCACTCACAAAACATGCAGCCATTTAATAACAACGGTGGAAAAGCAGCGCTCCCCTGTACTGCTGGCTGAAGAGTGTTCTGGCAACATCCACCAAAATTATTCATGGTTACTGCTTTACTCGGACTTCTCTGTAGCTAGGCCTCTGAAGGTACCACACACAAGGCCTCTCATTGCAACCATTCCGAACACCGACCACTGGAGACTTCAGATCATCCCATGTCCACATAAGGGAATAGAATACAGCTAGAAAACGCAAAGCCAAGGGTCCAGAATGGATATAAAAAGACCTCCAGGCAGGAAGTGCAGAACCAAGAACACAGAGGGTACAGCAGTGCCTGCAGTGGGCTGCAACTCAAGTTCATAGTCAACGACAGGTAGTTTTTACCCAATCTGCGTCGCGTAGATGGTTCCATGGATTTACCTTTCATTGTATATTTATTTAACGGTGCATTCTAAAATGAATTGTTTCCTCATACCAGGGGATTCCAATTCAATCCCATCAAGGTGGCATGTGCCAATGCCATCTCACTACTCCAAGTGATCAATTTCAGTTCACAATTGATCATAATGAAAGGACTAAGAGTCAAAGGGAGCACATAAACAAGTCTAGTATCTGCTAACACCAACCGATAGAATAAATAAAGGGGAGAGTGATCCAACATGGGAAGTGAGATACTCAGCAGACTCATAGAATGGCAGATGTCCTAAATAGCACTCTGGCCTCAGAATCAGCCCTAAAGGCACTCGGATCTGGCTGAAAAGCCCATGAGAGTATTTCAGGCATGGAAAGCCAAGACACTCTGGCAAAAAGATCTCTGTGAGTGAGATCCCAGTGGAAAGAGCAGGTCTTCAAAGAGGGAGGTGCCTTTCTCTGAAGGGAGGAGAGAACCTCCACTTTGACTATGACCGTGTCTAAACAAGATAAGAGTCGGAGAACTCAAGGGGCTTCCATAGCCTTGGAAACTCATAACTGGTGCATAGGGAGATTACTGATGCCATAAACAGGAGTGTCAATTGGTAAAGTCAACAACAGGAGTCACTGTGCACTTACTCCTCATGTAGGATCTCTGTCCTTAATGTGCTGTACACTGAGGCTTAATGCTATAACGAGTACTCAAACAGTATATTTCACTTTGTGTTTCTATGGGGGTGCAAACGACTGAAATCTTTACTTAATGTACACTAAACTGATCTTCTGTAAACAAAAAAAAAAGAAATTATCAATTCCCAACTTGACTCTCACTGGGATTAAACATGACAATAGGTCTGATCTGATTTCATCATCATTTAAAAAAAATCATCTATTATTTTTCACTTTATGTTTCTGTGTGGGAGCAAACTGTTGAAATACTTACTTAAGGTATACTAAGCTGATCTTCTGTATATTAAGATAATTGAAAATGAATCTTGATGTGAATGGAAGGGGAGAGGGAGTGGGAAAGGGGAGGGTTGTGGGTGGGAGGGACGGTATGGGGGGGGAAGCCATTGTAACACATGAGTCGTACTTTGGAAATTTATATTCATTAAATAAAAGATAAAAAAAATAAATAAATAAAATGAATTGTTTCCTGAAACCATTACTGAAAGAGTAAGCTACATTATTTGATCATATACTTGACTTTTCATGTACTTAAGCTTCAAACAGAACCATTTCATTTTGCTTAGACAAACATGAGAACATTCACTCAGCAAGGAGCCCAACTTTGTCACTGAAGGAATCTGAATCGACATGAAGCTTTCCTAAGCACACTGGGGTCTTGTGGTTGTTGGCATTCACATGCTGTACCACAGGTGTGAAGGTGGACGGAGAGGTTAACTGGCCATCCGAGTCTCGTATCTACTTGGCTTCTTGCAGAGCGCTGTGTCCACCTGACTTTTACCACAGGGCTAAAAAGCATTCCTGCAAGCAGGAGGGTGTTGTCTTCAGGGCAAGCAAAAATGCCTGGTACTTCAGGAAGCTCATGCAGAAGTGGAATTAAAAGGTCAGAAAAAAAAATTTAAAAAAAGATCAGTCAGGGGGCTGGCACTGTGGCGTAACAGGTAAAGCTTGGGCTGTGGTACTTCATCCCTTCCAGGTGCTGATCCACTTCCGATCCAGCTCTCTGCTGTGGCCTGGGAGAGCAGTGGAAGATGGACCAACTGCTTGAGCCCCTGCATCCACGTGGGAGACGCAGAAGAAGCTCCTGTCTTCAGCTTGGCTCAGCTCTGGCCACTGCAGCCGTTTGTGGAATGAACCGACAAACAGAAGACCTCTCTGTCTCTGTCTCTTCCTCTGTATGTCTGTAACTCTACCTCTCAAATAAATAAATAAAAACTGTTGAAAAAGAGTTAGTGCAGAACAGTTTTGAAAGTGACTCACAGCTGATTTATGACAGGCACTTATTGAGGGCCTCCAGTACCCTCATGCCCATCTAAGATTCTCACCCAGGCTGTACCTTGTTTCTCTTGGAAATCTTTTGACCCTTGACCTCTAAATACAAGAGCTCTTCTTCTTTTTCAAAAAAACCATTTGGCACGTTTCAGAACTCACTGCAGTTTACCCCACACACAATGTCAAAAGAAAGCTGCCTGCTCCACCATATTCACTGTACACCCCCAAACCACGCTGTCGCTATCTGGGACACACCTCACCCAGCTGTTAATAATCACAGCACGGTTGCTCAGTTCATGTTTTTCTCCTGGATAGAATGTGAGGACAGCAACCATGTACGTCTCCCCCCCCACACCAAGCAGTGGCAGCAGCCTGCTGGCCCGCACTCAGTCGGGTCTCAATCTGAGTGTGTTGAAGAAATGAGCTGCTGGCCAGTGCTGCGGCTCAATAGGCTAATCCTCCGCCTGTGTCACCGGCACCCCAGGTTCTAGTCGCGGTCGGGGTGCCAGATTCTGTCCTGGTTGCCCCTCTTCCAGGCCAGCTCTCTGCTGTGGCCCGGGAAGGCAGTGGAGGATGGCCCAAGTGCTTGGACCCTTCACTTGCATGGGAGACCAGGAGAAACACCTGGTTCCTGGCTACAGATCAGCACAGCGCACCGGCCGCAATGGCCATTGGGGGGTGAACCAACGGTAAAGGAAGACCTTTCTCTCTGTCTCTGTCTCTCACTGTCCACTCTGCCTGTCAAAAAATTAAAAAAAAAAAAAAGAAATGAGCTGCCTGTGTTCCCTCCCAGTATCTTTCCATCTATTAGAACTGCAAACTTCTCGAGGTCAGAGATTGTTTCCAAGGAGATGGCTAGGTACGGCCAGCACAGTATGGCACAAAATTATATCCCTAATTCATTTATCATTCACCAGCAGCAAAACTAATATTGACAGACCCAGTAGTTCAACATCCTTGGAGACCTGGGACTCAGCTGGCTCGATGCAAAGTGACGATAACACTTTCAAAACATCCTTTGCACTGATCACGCTGACAACGAACTTGCTTCTTAGCCTTCCTATCAGCCAGAGCCAGGAGGCCACCCAGCAGGTAGTTCAGTGTTTTCAGAACGACCAGCAACCCGAGCGAAGGCTGGATCCTAAGAATATTTGCAGTCGTACAAACAAACGGAAAGTGTATCTTCCATTCCAAACTGTTTAATTTTCCTTGGGTTGTTATCGTGACAACTTCCTTAACCTGATAACAGATTTTCTCAAATGTAATCATGTGTTTATTTTATGGTTTTCACAAGATGTACCTTTAGTACATCCAGATTTTCAGAGCCCGTCAGTTTTTCAGAATGTGTTATGGCAGGATATTCTGGAACTGCCAAGAAAAGTGGATTCACAGAGCTGCCTGCAAAGCACTAACTATAACAAATTAGCATAAGCAGCTCTGTTTTAGAAGGCACACAGAAAGATGGTGTGGTTTTGCATTTCTACCATTAAAAACTGCCCATGCAGCGTCTGGCTTCCCCGAGACTATTAACCATGGCCACGTGAGTCAGTGCCGCCGGCCTCGCCACGATGGACCTCCTCCACCGACCCTGTGCCTGCGCCTTGGACTAACCAGGAAAACTAGCCAACAAGTACCTATTTTTATGGATTTTTTCCCCTGACTTTAAAACATGCATATCGAAACCTCTCAACACTTGTCAGCTCTCCTGTGAACATACCATATAAATGGCCTGGCACCGGCCGCCAGGAAGCGCCAGAGGCCAAATGGCTCTCTCCCACCCACGCCGCCAAGTTCAGAGAGAATCTGTCGTCACCCCACACCACGCCGAGCGTGCATGCGCGCAAAGCCATTAAGCTCTGCAGGGTCGCCTGCACCAGGGCCGACCCCTGCTCTTCCTCGCCACCGCTACGGCTCAAACACCTTGGCCAGTTGTCCGCGCACAACACACAGGGAGTTTCCAGCGTCTTCTGTACTTGAACTCTTCACTCGGGCCACACCGCAGGGCCAGGGCGGCACCCCCACCCTCGGGCCTCTCACTCTGGTGGGCCCTGGGCTTGTTCCTGTGCCCCTCCAGCCCTGTGCTCCCTGCCTGTGTTCCCTGTGGCCCTGAGAACACCCGGTCTACACACCTGGGCGGCAGGTCAGCCCCGCCCAAGTAATCACTGGTGACAAACCCCAGCGCCGTCCCGGGCGCCCCTGGTTTTGAGAGCTACTTCCTGAACGCCCGCCTCCTGCCCACGTCATGTACTGTTTGCACCCCAACATCCGGTGCTTCCCACCATCCCTCGCTGATCCCCGGCTCACCTCCCTCTTCGGTGGCTGGCCTCTTCCATCTGGGCGCTCAGGACGGCCTGTGGGTCAAGCCTGGAGACCCCGTGCCCGCGCTTCGCCCTCTGCCAGGAGGCCTGGCCTCTCCCGGTACCCAGCGGCACCAGCTCCTCAGGCGCCCTACCTCCATGTACAGGCCCAGTCCTCGGAGAATGGTGCCTGGCGCGCTGCACACCCGGTCTCCGCACTGGGGCTGGGAGGCCGCTTCCTGCGGGAGGCGGAAGCTCCCGGGAGCTGGGCTGACCGCTCGCCACTGGCCAGGCCCAGGCAGAGCACGGGCACGGGCACGGGCACAAGTGTAAGCACTTGTCAGGGTGGCGTCTGACGGGCCTGATGCAGCGCACATGAGCCAGCGAGGGTTCACAGCTGCCTAGCTTTCTGCCCTAGATAGCGCGGCCCACACACAGCCCCTGGAGGCAGCCCCAAGTCCTTGTCAAGCCGGGAAAGGGTGAGATCTTATATCTGCAGAGCTGGTGCTGAGGACCAGGAGTGGCCTTGCTTTGCACATATAATGTAAAATAAATTTACTTTCCTTGTGTGTGTGTTTAAAGATTTTATGTATTTATTTGAGAGGTAAAGTTACAGGGATTTTCCATCTGCTGGTTTACTCCCCAAATGGCCGCAACAGCCAGAGCTGGGCCAGTCCAAAGCCAGGAGCCAGGAGCTTCTTCTGGGTCTCCCATGTAGGTGCAGTGGCCCAAGCACATGGGCCATCTTCTACTGTTTTCCCAGGCCATAGCAGAGAACTGAATCGGAAGAGGAGTAGCCGGGACTCGAACCTGTGCCCATGTGGGATGCCGGCATGGCAAGTGGAGGCTTAGCTTACTACGCCACAGTGCCAGCCCCACTTTACGTGTTTTATAAATTCCTGTGTTGCTGTGAGAACAGGTGACCGGTGACACGGAACAGGAAGGTGAGGGGATGCTGGGAGGACAGAATCAGGGAACAGATGTTCTAATCACACGCGTTGCAACCTCTGGAATTTCCAGTGATGTGGACTAGATGTCAGAAGTTCGGAAATGAAGCAAAAACCCAGACCTGCAGGTCCCCCCAGACTTGCAGTTCCCCCCGTCCCTCCCTGGAGGTTCTGGTTCATGAGGCAGGGGTGAGGCCTAGCACTCTCCATTCCTCACAAGCTCCCTGGATAGACGCTGGTGACCAGGCAGGGGGGGAGCAGTGTGGACGCCGGACCTAACGGCAGAGATCAGACAGCCCAGCCCGCTGGTTCCAACCCTGCGTGACGTCCTGGCTCCGGAGACCCAGGGGAGGGGCCAGGGAAGCCAGGAGCTGAAACACCCTCAAAGATTCAGCCGTGGCAGCTGCTACGGGGGCCACCGATCCAGCTTCTGCTGTGTCTCTCTGGCTGGGGTCGCCGGCTCCAAGAGCCCCGCGAGAGCCCCTCCTCCTGGGGGGTGCAGCCTGCTGGCGCCCCTCCCTCCCTGCACAGGGGGACCTGTATAGCCAGCAGGAATCATGGGAACGACGGGCCTGGCCTCTGGGGCCAGGGTGTACGCAACACTGTGGTTCCTGCATTGCTCTCTTGGGTGGGAGGGCACCTGGGCAGCCAGTGTGGAGCAACGGGACCCTCCCCCCGCCGCCCCAGAACCACACTGAGGCATCTCCAGCAGTGTCTGCGAAGTGGCTCCACGTCCACTGAGGAGGCGTCTGTGGCCCTGGCGGGCGCCTGGCTAGAACAGGACCTGCAGCTCAGCGGCCCTTCAGAGCCCCCCGACTAGGACGG